GAAGTCTTTCTCAGAAGGAATCTCAGAGTATTCCCCATGTCCAAGAGAAGTCCATCGGCTCCGCTTCTCAGCCATCTTCTTCATCTGCTGCAACCTCCGCTCCCTCAGCGCCTCCAGATCGTCGACATCGAGTCGGTCCAGGGCCGCGATCTCCTCATCGATCTTGTCCTCAACCGCCTGAGCTACCGTCAGAACCTGCTTCTCGACGACTTCTTGAATCTTAGGGTTCTCCATCTGCGAAATTCTGAGCAAGACCTCCCCTTCCCGCTATCCTTTTCGAATGGGAACGAGACGATGGAATTGCAAGAAGGCGAAGCTCGGGGAGTGAGGGTGAGACAGATCACAGAGGCCCTGCAATGCGATGTCGTTTTAGGGTCGCACGTTTGCAAGAGAAAATGTTTGGGCTACCTTTCTGGGCGAAGCCATCATGTGGCCCAGATAGATTGTGCTCATGGGCAATCATAAAATATTGGATTTGGCCCAATACTTGAGATGCATTCCTTTAAGCCCACTCTGATTTCTGTCGAGCAATCCACGTCCGTCACCGAATCACATCTGCTAGGCTTTTTGTCATGTAGATGGGCATCTTATGCAAAAGTTTTAAACACTCCATGATAGAACTAATTTGACATTTAATCTAATCTTAAATATCTGACCCGCTTTTCTGTTTTTATTTATTTATTTTTTTCAAAACAATCCTTGTAATAATTGCACGCGTTAAAAGTCCTAACAAATGGTAGTTTTAGCTAATACGCATGATTAGTAAGAGTATTTTAGGGAGGACAACACCAACTTATTATAAATAAATAATTTAACAAATTTTCTTAATATATTCAAATTAATCAACTAGCTCTTATATTAAAAACTGGAGATAACATTAAAAGGTGAATTAAATAAAATGAAACCTGGGAATGAAAATGATAAGTGATGAGCCACTAGGTTAATGGTTTGTTTGGAACGACAGTATAATTCTTCAAAAACAACTTTTTAATTGAAATATAAAATAACTATATGAAAAGAGATTTATCTTGAATCACGTGAATAAAATGCTCTTGAGATCTCAATTATAGGGAGCGTTTAGTTGAATCAAAAAAAATGTTTCTGCATAAATCGAAATAAAACTTCTTTCATAGAATTACTTTATATATTATAAAATTATTTTTAAAATTATGATTTAATTTTATCCAAACATTCTGATAACCTTCAACAAGCACTAGCAAGAGAACAATAGATAGGCCCTACCTTAGGTGATGTAAATGGAAAACATTGGAGGGAAGGAAAAGAGAGAAAAGAAAGAAGTTGACCATAACTTGACCTCTCCCTCTCTCTCTCTGTTGGTTCGTGAGGTTGAAGGCTTAGTTGTAAAGCTGAGGAGGCTCAGTCGTCGACCACGCCGGAAGTCGTTACGTGAAGAAGGTGGCGATCTGCCGTATCTCTCTGTCAGCTTGGAGATATTTTTAAGGTGGCTGGCCCAATCAAATCCTGTGCTCCACGTGCTCCGCCGCGTCAACCCCCCAATTCTGTTTTTAGTCTCTCCCTCGTTATAAACGTTACGCCTCCATCGGCCTATTCGGTGCTCTCCGCCTGGCCCATCTCCTTGTCTTTACTCCCCAAATTCAAATTCAAAACACTCGCCAATGGAAATCTATGGCATTTTCTACGAGGATTCTCATATTCACCTGACATTTCGATCTTCTTGATAGTGCAGTTTTATTCATGATTAGAAATAAAATTGTATAAAAATTCATGACTGGAATTTAAAAAAAAATTATGAGTAAAATTATACCATTAAAATAATTAGAGTACTAGTACACTTGAGAAATAAGATCAATAGTAAACTTGTAACTTTATTTGTGCCAAACAATTGCATTTTTAACTTTTCTATAACAACTCTCCATATTATTTTCCTGAAATCCACCTTTGTTTAAAAATGTGAAAAAAAAAATGAAGATTATATGGAGAAGCGGTATGAATTTTCAAAATGAGCTATCTTTGGTTACATTCGTCGGAATGTTTGGTTGCAATATTTAAATTAATTTCTTCAAACTAATTATCTGGCTAAACATATAAGATGAATTAAACATTTAGTATGAAATGGGTACGTGTGTGTATATAACATATTCAAAAGTTATATTATTGCATATGAAAGGCTATCTTGTTTTGATACCGAGAAATGGTTTTATTGTTTGATGTGAATATTCATATAGATCCACTTTTTCAACCACGCAACAATGATCTTCTTAACACTGCGAAGTGTTTTAAGAGTTAATTTCTTATTTCATGCAAAGCCAGACTATGCATCCAGCTAGATCCATTTTGTTGTCTGGCTCTATTACTGTTACGTCGATACTACCCTCATTCATGGTATAAATGCTAAGCAAAAGGTTCAATTTAACATTAAATATAAAATTTTAATTTACTTTATTTTTTTTACCAGCAATTTACTTTATCTTTTAAATTTATAATTGTTTTCTTAAAATATTTTTATTACAGAGTTTCCATTAAAAACTAACTTTAAGGATCATAATTAAATATGATGACTTAAATTAGCACACATTTATTATAAATAACTAAACAAATTTTTTTAATATTCTTCAATTAATTATTCATATTTTATATTAAGAATCAAATACACTACATGTGTTATACTTATTACAACCTTGGACATTTTGTACAGGGCTTGCAGATATGAACAGAGGGCTGCAACGTTTATAAAACCCATCGTCACTCTTGATTCATAACATCGTATAAGTAAGGGTTAAGATGTATTCAGTACCTCAAAATATTTTTTAAAATACATCTAATATCTTAAAATATTTTTTTAGATGTGTCCATCATCTTGAACTAATTTTTTTGTTTTGGTGCTGGATGCATAAAAAAAAACTTTGGTGTCAAACACACCTGTAAAAATACTTTTAAATACTGGATGCATTAAAGAATACTTCAGGTACTGAATGCACTACAAAATATTTTAAGGTGCTGAATACACCTAAAAAATATTTCGAGTGTTGGATATACCATAACCTATAAACGACATTCATGTGATTTTTTTAATTTGGAGAAAAAGAAAAAATCATGAATTAACTTCTATCGTTTTTGGTAGAGACGAAGGCAGAGGAATCTTTCAACGCATCAGGTGAAGAACAGAAACCCGACGATTTTGTTTGAAGAAGAGAGAGAGGGGAAAATTTAATTAATTTTAGTATGAATAATAATAAATATAATAGTCGAGAGAAGCCTGTGGTAGGTCTCAAAATGCCTAGGGAAATTTATAATAAATGGGCTTACCAATAAAGATTAAATCTAGTACAAGGGATTAGTCTTTTACAATATAATGAATCAATATTCAAATTCTGTTGGAAATTGTGTCCGTATTTAGTGTTTGATAATATGTCAAACAAAATTATTTCTAATAGAAGGATACTTGTACTTAGTAAAAACAAGAAAAAAAACCTATGGGCTTAATAACATGGGTTAGGCTTAGCAAAAGAGGTTACTATGAGAACTATGGTTTAAATATCTGTTGGGAAGAATGTCCATATTTAATGCTCAGCTGCTCAATCAAACAAGAAGATTACTTCTTCGGTATGTTTATCATAAAACATGCATAAATAATTTCTACATGAATTAAAGCTAAATTTTAATATACTCCTTTGGTCCTATTTATAGAGTAGAGAGAGAAGATATTTTTTTGTCCTATTTATAGAGCACTGAGAGAAATTTTTTGTGTAGATATATAATTTTATCCCTAATTTATTATTGTGTTGAATTAATTTATATGAGGTATAATGTACATTAAATATGGGTAAAGTTGGAAAGTGATTGAATTTTAAATGAAAAATAATAAAATTTAAAATTTTTTCGATTTGTGTTAAATTATATTAGAAGAGACTTATAAATAGGACGAGAGCGGTATATTTCTTGATGTGATAATTCGTGGCAAACTTTTACAGCCTTCAAAGGACAGTTAACAATTATTAAGTACAAGCTGTACTCTTCTAAACTATGATTACTAGTTAATTACAACTATTGCAATGGGTACAGAAATGGTCGAACTCTTTAATTTTCTTTGGTGAGTTGAGGAGAAAAGTGAAAAGGTGAAGCATCATATCCAACAAGAAGGCAGGGACAGATGAAAGGAGGGTTTGTTATGTGAGGAAGCTTTATGAAAAGGGAAAAAGCAAAGAAAGATTGGATATGAGGAAGAGGAGGTTGTGAAGGATACTATTAATTAATATGGAGGGAAAAATGAAAATGCCTTTGTCCATAAGGAACCTCAAGCTTTCAGCAGTGGGCCTCACCCTTCACTACTCATCATTCCCTCTCAGATGCAACTAGTTTTGCTCAGCCCCACACCCCTTTATGGCTCCTTCACCCTCATCACCCCAAATCTCCCGCTTAGTTTCATAATTTAATAATGCCACATCATTCTTTTTTTATTATTATCAGTACCCCTCTTTAATACCACAACATTCTATTTACATATACTTCTTCCAATTTTGTTAACTCACTCTTTATTTCCCTTTTCTCCTTGAAATAAGTTAATTTTATTATTCTTCATTTATTTTTGAATATACTGCCAAGTAGTACTCTCTATAATTATACATAAAGGCAAAGTGATTTTTTTTTTTGGAAAAAAAAAAGAGAAGCTAGAAGATGAAAAGAGAAGAGAACCTGATATTGGGCTTGTTTCGATCAACAATGTAAAAGTGTTTATAAACATTTTGACACAAATCGAGACAAAACTCTTTTAATATATTTATCTTATATTTTGTAAATTATGTTTGAAAAATAATCATATCAAACAAGCCCATTAAAAGAAGAAACCGTAAATTTTGGAATAAAATAAAAGAATAACGAAACTGGGTGTGAATGCGATGGTGGGCATTGAATTGAAATAAATTATACTATTAAATAACATTTGGGGCGAAGCAAAGAGGAGCATATGAATAAAATAAGGGAAGCGCAGTTTGACTGTATCTTTCTCTTTCCCATGAGCTTTTTCTTCTCCATAGGAACCGTAAAGCCCACCAACGCACGCACTGGCTTCGCTTCTCAAGGCTCTCGCACGCACACTTTTCCTACTCAACACTCCCCACTCTTCTTCTGACCGTTTTCATTTCTTCTTCCCATCCATTTTCCCACTATCGCTATTCCTCTCTCTCTCTCTCTCTCTAACTACTCCTTCTTCTTGCCTTATGAAGAAGTGCTTTTCTTTATCTTCCTCTCCATTTCCCACTCCATATCCCCTCTAGCTTGTTCACCATACATTCATCTTCTTCAACTCACAATTGTCTGTGAGTTCGCTCTCGGGGATTTTCAGGGTTTTGTTTTTTTGTTTGTTTCCTTCTCTCTGTCTTTTTTTCCATGGAAAGGAAACAGGGTTTCTTCGCTGCTCTCAGAGAAGAGGTAGTTCGTGGGCTATCGCCGTCGCGTTCTCGGGCTAACAGTCCCGGGCGAACCGGGTCGCCAATGTCAGGCTTGCTTCGGAGGAAGAAGCAGAGCAGCTATAACTTTGTGGTGAATCCTGATTCTGCTTTGGTCGCGAGATCCGGGAGCATGAGAGTGCTGGGGGAGACATTGGCGCCGCTGATGGAGGGACCCGACCCGGACGGATGCCAAAACGGGGATCCGAAGAGAGTTGGTTCGGCTCTTGGCCAGTGGATGAGGGGGCAGTTTTCTCGAGCTCCGTCGGTAACTTCGACGTCTTACAAGAGGTCTGATCTCAGGCTTCTGCTCGGGGTGATGGGTGCGCCTCTGGCTCCATTTCATGTCAGCGCGTCTGACCCGTTGCCTCACCTCAGCATTAAGGATACTCCCATTGTTAGTTGTTTCTTTCTCTCTCACTCTGAGTGATCGATGGAGTTCTTTTCTGCTCAATTTCATTTAGGCATTTTTTTAAAGTATTGACTGAATGTGATAAACTAAAGCTGCTGAGCAATTCTGTAAAGATCACTCTGTCTTGATTTTTTTGGACATTATCGCATTGTCTGTTTTGATATTTTGGACTATGATTAATCTTTCTCCCTAAGTAATCAGCAAATTGCCACGTTTTGGCTACCCATTTGGTTTGGTGTACGCATGGTTGTATTTTTTAAATGGGTAAGATTCATTGTATATAAAAACCTTACGATTTCTGCCTTTATTTGAGCTATTCTTGTGTTTACCTGAAATGGTAGTCGTGGAAAAACAGGATCGAGCGTCTGTTTCGCAATTCCAGTTTGAGCTGGTCAAGTGTTTGTTTGGCTTCTACGAATATTGTACCTTTTTACTTTCATATCTCGCTAGTAATGGATAACGACGATCTCAAGTTGCTTGCATTGCAGGAAACCTCGTCCGCGCAATACATACTGCAGCAGTTCACGGCAGCTTCGGGTGGGCAGAAGCTACAGAACTCTATCAAAAATGCATATGCAATGGGAAAGGTGAGAATGGTGGCTTCTGAATTTGAAACTGCCACAAGGGTCGTGAAGAATAGAAATGCCTCTAGATGTGCCGAGTCTGGTGGGTTTGTGCTCTGGCAGATGAATCCTGACATGTGGTACGTAGAGCTTGCCGTAGGGGGAAGCAAGGTTCATGCAGGCTGCAACGGGAAGCTTGTTTGGAGGCACACACCGTGGCTTGGTGCTCACACAGCGAAGGGACCAGTGAGACCACTGCGTCGTGCACTTCAGGTTAGGCTCCTGAGTTTCAGTTTTATTGCTGTTGTACATGACATCTGCTGCTTCTCTTGTGCTAGCTCCTTTCCTCTGTGTATTTCTTATCCTTTACATGTTTGTTTAATTAGGGTCTTGACCCCAGAACCACTGCCAGCATGTTTGCGGCTGCCAAATGCATTGGGGAGAAGAAAATCAATGGCGAGGATTGCTTCATCCTTAAGCTTTGTGCCGATCCTCAAACATTAAAAGCTCGGAGTGAGGGTCCTGCAGAGATCATCAGGCATGTCTTATTTGGCTACTTCAACCAGAAGACTGGACTCCTTGTTCACATTGAAGATTCTCATCTGACCCGCATCCAATCTAATGGGGGTGAAGCAGTTTACTGGGAAACCACAATTAATTCATTCCTTGATGATTATAGACCTGTGGAAGGGATTATGATTGCTCACTCAGGTCATTCTGTAGTAACACTTTTCAGGTTTGGGGAGATGGCGATGAGTCACTCCAAAACAAGAATGGAAGAAGCCTGGACAATCGAAGAGGTTGCATTCAATGTTCCAGGCCTTTCAGTCGATTGTTTCATCCCTCCAGCTGATTTGAAAACTGGTTCCGTCAGTGAAGCTTTTGAGCTTCCTCAGGATGAAAAAGTAAAGAACTCTGTAGCAGCACAGAGGGTCAAGGTTTCTGCGCTGGAAAAATCACATAATGGAAGCACTAATAGTATGGCATGGAAGATGGAAGTCTAACTGTGGCTGAGGACTAGGTCATTGCAATTGTTAATAGCAGTTACTAGTGTTTGACTACTGATACTCAGAAGTTATAGTTGGGATTCAGCTGGGTTTTTTTTCTGTGGAAGTCTACCTATGCCTCTATTTAATCTGTAAATAGAGCAAAAACAAAATTCACTTGTTTCAACCAGACCTGAGTGAATTTTTTTATACTCTGTGCAGGATCCATTTACAGAGTTGGAGTTTGTTTATCCACCTAGGAATAGAAAAAAAATAGCGACTAATTTTTAGCCGGGCTTCCATACACAATGGAAAGGTGGTGATGAAGCATTGGTTTAGCAGAGACAACGAAACTTGAACTTGGCAATTTAGTTTAGTGTTGGTGGTGGTGAGTATTAAAGAGCCTTCCGCCGACTGCAAGGGGTTTGACACTAACAGATCAATTAACTCTGGTGTTGAAGGATATGCTAATTCCGTTTCTTTCCAAGTGTAGGTATTGTTTCTGGGTTTGGATTGGTAAAAGGGTTTGTTTTTGGGTTAGGGGGGGAAATACTCTTTCTTACCTTACCTCTATGCCCAACTCTTCTGATATGGTATGCAGCTGTAATTTTGCTTTTAATTCAGTGCTTCTGAAAATGAAATGTAATCGCCAATGAATGCTCATGGCACGTTAATGCTCATGGCACATTTTGTGTAGAGCTTTCTATTAATTGAGGAATTGATGCGGTTCCTAGCTATGTGTTAAATTAAATGTTCCCTTGAGTCTAATGTTACTATCTTTTCTTGCTATTTTACACACACACACAGACAGACGCGGTTGCTGTTTTTACTCTGAGACGGGGAAACGGATGGCCTCGAAGTTTTACGTATTTGTATTTTAGTATTCCGAGTTCCAACCCCCCCGGCCCGGGACTAGCGGCGGATGTATACCATCATCTTTATTGTTTTTCTTTCGGAAAAATTGTAATTAGGTCATATCTAAGAAAATTAAATACAAAAAAGTCTTTTAAAATCATAAAATTATTCTAAAGTCTTAAAAGATTTTTTTGTCATAAATTTTATTTGTTTAATTACTAAATTATTCTTTTTTTTTTAAAGTTTGCATTAACAATTAAAAGAGTAGCGGTTGACAACTTAGAGTGTAAGGATTAACAATTACCGTGACTGGTTTGACAATTTAAGGTGTGATGCTGAGAAAATGTGTTAAACCAGTCACGGTAGTTGTTAATTCTTATACCATAAGTTGTCAATCACTACTCTTTCAGTTGTCAATGCAAACTTTAAAAAAAAAAGGTAATTTGGTAATTAAATAAATAAAATTTATTATAAAAAAGTCTTTTAGGACTTCAGAATAATTTCATGATTTTAAGAGATTTTTTAGTATTTAATTCTCTTAGGTGGGACCTAATTGTAATTCTCCTTTTTCTTTCTTCCTAGGGCAGGTTTATTTAATTATTTGTTTATTTTTTTCACGTTGTTATTGGCTTATTGCTTTGGCAGGTTAGGGTCTTTCTTTTGTGATCCATTTGACTGGTAAGAAAACTGTTTTTTTGAAGGAAAAAAAAAAACTTCTGTTTATTTGGTGAAGGTACCAACCTCGATTTACCTCCTCCTCGTGCCCGGTCAGAAAAAGGACAAGCCCCACCCCCACAACCAGAGAGGGGGAAAAAACGGTTTTTCATAAATTACCTATTTTTATTTTTTATTTTTAACTTCCTGCCGGATGGCTAGTTGGCTCATGTCCTGAATCATATATATTTACCTCATAAATACTCTTCCGGTTCTTAATATAAAATTTATTTAACTAATTTGATTAGATTAAGAAAATTAGATAAATTAGTTAATTATAAGAAATATGACATGTTTTTCCTAAAATACTATAATCATCTTTCTTAATATCTTATCTTTCTCTTCTACTTAATTATGGTTGAATGAGTATCATAAGGATAATTTAAAAAAAATTGATAAATATAAAAAATAAGTCTTATATTTAAAACTAAAACTAACTCAATAATTGAGTTATATATTAATTACAGAAGGAGTATGATTGTTAGTTCTACTTCTAGGGGTTATGATGAGCGAAAAGACCCAAATTTAAAGGGGAGAAAATGAGAACACAAGCAGAAACAGAGAGAGTTGACAGGCACCTATCAGCAGAGCAGAGGATGGCTTGAAATCCATCTTCACGTGATGTATGATTCTCTGGATTGCTGGGTTTGCGGGGGAAGTTAACTTTTGCTTGAAGCTCCTAGAGAGACCTTCTGTTGTCTGATCCAATTCTAGCAATTTTTTAAAATTATTTTCACTGTTGTATTTCGGGATCTTCAATGGGCAAAACACAAACTTGGGTATTTCAACGAGTTCTTTAGCTTTCCCCCTGGAGCTCAATAAGATTAAACTTGAGAAATTATATGCATTGAAAATTTGTTTTGTATTTATAATGAATTTGATTTAATAATAATATTAAGAATTAACTTTCTTCAATCTCTTAGTTCCTACAAGAATCTGGGGGGGGGGGGAATTTCAGAGTGAGAAAAGATGAAGAACAACGTAATACCCATCATACAGGAACCGCCGAAAGAAAACGATGAGTTGCATCAATCAGTGATAAAGGAATGAGGAAGTGTGATTGCATTTGATGCTCTTAGAAGAGTAGGTGACAGCAAATAATCTTATAACTTCGTAGTATGACAGTTGTCTATAAGTGAGAGATTCGGATTTCCCCAGTAATTTTGAATCATTAATATACACTAACTCGAACAGGATTACCTCAGGTGAAAGGATAGTTATATCTAACAAAAAAAAAACAAAAGAAAAAGAAGAGAAGGTGCCAACATTAATCAAACTTGTTGAGATCAGCATCTTTTTAACGAGGGGCCACAAAACAGAAATTCATTGTTGAGATGAGGATCTTAAAGAAGCCGACCTAACGCTTGATGCTGATCTTAACTACACTTATCTCATACTTAAATTCAGGCTTGTACAGATCTTAATCACCCGAGCTAACTCCACTCACCAATTCTGCTTCGGCAATTAACTCATCCAAATCAAAGAAAAAACCCGTAAGCTTGCAAAGTATGATGTGTGAACTCAGCCTTACTGATGGAGACTCCTCAACCAAGTTATGTGGGAGTGGTCCATAGAGCTAACCCATCCGAATCCATACCTTCACTGAGAAAAGGCAATTTCTAAACCAGTAAATTTTTTCAGGATGACAACGACCGCTCCTCTGGGTACTCATCTCATAATTGGATTCCTGATAGAGACACCTACGAATGGCGACGTATATATGTATGTATCTCTCTCTCTCTATAGATACATACACACGCACACTTAAATATACGTATAGCATGGGAATGAAAGAAACCGGTTAGCTAAAAGTCAAAGAGAATTGAAGGTTGGAGTTGGGTTTAGTGAGGATGTTTATATGAGAAGGGAAGCTTCAACTGTAACAAACTGATTATATATTTAGTCACCAAACCTAGTCGTCTCGTTATGGTCACCAAGATATATATCTTTACATGGCCTTTGTTCTTGTAGCTTCATGCCACACCTTAGTACCTAGTAAGATGTGAAGCTACCTAAAACAGAGTCTTGCGTTTATATTATGAGTCTTTCATTGGAAAGTCTCATATAAAGATATTGTAATTTATAAACAAGGGACTCTCTCTTTTGGATTAGACTCTCTAGTTCTTAATAGTTTGATTCTTTTTTATTAAACAAAAAACAAAAAGCTGCACGCTCTGCTGTTTCAGAGTTGAGAAGCATTACTAGAATTGGGTGTGTGATTGAAAATCCGTTAAGTTTGAAAGTGTGTTTTTTCATGTGTAGTCATGCTCATGCTCCAGTGGTTCATAGGCTAAAGAGGACGAGAAGTAGGAAGATGAGGTGAAGCACATGGAAGTAGCAGAAAAGGCAGTAAATGGTGAGAAGTTGGAGTGATGGGTTAGGTATGTACTGTTCTGAGCTTCCTCGATCTTAGGCTTCGCACCAGCCACAGCCATTCATCACCTTTTTTTTTTTTTAAGGAAAAAAAAGAGTCATAAGATTTTTATATCATATACACCATATGATCAACAATTCCGAGTAAACACAGTATTAAAATAATAATGAAATTCATTGGTTATAGTCTTAGTTTATTAGACTAATCTTGCTTTGACTTGCCTGAACGCATCTCCTTGTAGTTATTGATATATATATAGAGATTCCGAAGTTGACTTACCAATATGAAGCTTCCTAGCAGAAGGAAAACCCTCAATTCCTGCTTAGTACTCAAATATTTTTTCCCATCAACTTGGGTTAAAAAATTGCAGTGAAGTTAAAGATCTGTGTTAAAGACTAACCAAATCTACCCTATAATTTAAGGAAAGTCAAAGTGTAATTTTACTCTCAAGATTATAAATGAGATCAAACCGACAATCTCCTTATGGAAGCAAGTTTTCATACCACTAGATTATAAAGCCAATTATGAGATATTTTAGGAGCAGAATTGGCATTAAAGTGGAAGCCTGAAACTGTAGAAGAGCCAAGGTGAGAGGGAATTGGAGTTTTGACTGAATGAACCCCATTAGAGAGACAAGAAGTGACGGCAAAATCCTGCAGAACTAGAGGAATGGGTTCCTTATTTCATTACATTAATGAAGAATACATTAAAAATGTGGAAATGAGGACTTCAAAGTGACGCATATCAGTGCATGCGTAGAGATAATCAAGTAATGAAGTTCGTCTCAAAATCTTAAAAAGAAGAATACAGATATTTTTGTACTGTTATATGGAAATGGAGAGAGTGTCGGCAGAGGAAGGTAGGACTTAACTTTTGGGAGCAGAAGAGAAGACAAGGAATGGAGACACATTAATGAGGAGACAACTGATCTGAATCTTTCTTTCTGAGAAGGTGGTGGGGATATATATGGAATTAAATGAAAACTGAGTAACACAGCTAAAAGTGGGGTTACTACCATACCCTTTCTACTGATCAACCCAGTATCCCACTCTGTGATCGATCATCCTCACTATTCTCATTCCGCCATTTCTCCCATGTGCTTCTAATTCTATCTATCTGTCTCTCTCTCTTTCTATCTACCTCCACGCTCCTCGCTATTATTCTATTCTATTCTGTTGCAGAAAAAATGACAGCCAAGCTTCTATCTCAGCACAATATTCCATACTTGTTCAATTTAATTATGCCATCCAGGTTAAACATATTTGTGGTTTATCCCTAAGTTTTGGCCTCAAAAGGTGAATCTTGGCAGATTTCAACAGAAAATGACAGGACATAAGTTGTTGTTGTGGGCTTTGGGGAAGAGAGAGCACACAGATACATTCAGAATTCCTCTCTCTTTTCTTTTACTACCTCGTGGTCTTTAATACAAAAATTGTATAACTAATTTTAAAATATTAAAAGTTAAGCTAGTTGTTTTTTACAAATATGTGTTGATCTCTTCAAATTATCGTCCTTAATCTTTAATCATATATATTGGAATACCCTTTATAAGCATCTTTTGCAATTAAGGGAAAACCATATTGGAGGTACCTATACTTTCTCTCAATTTTTAATTTGGTACCTATGTGTTTTTTCCCCTTTAATTAAACATTTAATTTTATCTTTTTAGCAACATTAGCTCTTATAACTTTGTTTTATTGATATTTTAGTCTCTACATAAGGATTGATGATGTTAATAGAGCAAAATTAAAGATTTAGTTAAGAACAAAAAAACACATAGGTACCAGATTGAAAATTAAGAGAAAGTATAAGTACCTCCAATATGGTTTTCCCTGCAATTAATAAGGATATTTTAAAAAAAATGAGAAAGAAAGTAAATTGAAACCTTATATTTAGGATAAAATCTAACTTCTCAAGTAACTCTTATATTAAGAATCAAAAGTATTATTTGGTTTGACTACATAAATAGCATCTCTTGCTTTGATTTGGATATCTTTGTCAATCTTTATTCTTGTGAGCTAGTGAAAGATGAAATTCGTTTTTTTTTTTTGGGGCCATTTCATTCAGATTTCAAAGGTTAAGATAATTAACTTCAGTTCTTTTACTTTTTAATTAAAAGTTCGAGTGAATTGACTAGAAGTCTCTTAGAAAATAAGGACAAGCCTTATAGTTAAAAAAAAAAACATTTATAAGCATATCGTCCTTCAGAAAGGCTCTTGAGATTCAAACACTTGCTCTTGTGAGATATGAGCTACATTCTAATCAATTAAATTAACTTTTCTATCAAATTCATTTTTTTTTAAAAAATGAACTTAATTTCTTACTAATTGAATCAGACACAAACCGAGGCCTTCTTTGGTTAAAACACAGAAAACTAGTGGGCCTGAGCAACTATAGCCCATTCTGTATCTTTGTTGGTGGAAACCAAAAAATCCACTATGGGAGGCTTTCAAGAAACTAAATGGGCTGGGTCATAATATCCCATTGTTCAACTGGATATACTGTGTTGGGCCTCACAAAGCCTTTCCCAACGAAGTATGAATATGCGGAGCGTCGCTGAGTGGGCATGTGGGGATGTGCGTGTATGTGTGATGCCAAACAGGGAGATGAATATACTAGCAAATTTTTTACCATGTAATTATAAAATGCCAAAAATAAAATACCAAAAGCTGTATGGTTTAATCCCACAACCTAAGGCCAAAAAAAAGAAGAAAAAAATCCCACAACTTAGCTAGCCATAATTGAAATTCCCCTGCCAGCAGAATTTTATGCCCCCATATTAGGATCTCAATCAAAACTATAGTTGACTGTCTTAGAATCTAAGACAGTCAACTATAGTTTTGATTGAGATCCACACACCCACACTTCACACACACATCCACCCACTTATGGGTATAGAACTCAGAGAGGACATGTGGGTGCCATTGAACCAAAAGGTTCTTAGTGATCTTCAATAAGCTTGTTATAAAAGATTCAAGGACATATAGTTCTGTTTCGCATTACAATTTGAATAATTTACAAACACTCGAGATACATACTTGTTATATTTTATAAATCATGATTTAAAAGTTGCTTATAAATCATTTCAAACGGATCCTATATCAACTTTAAGTTACACATGTCACCCAAAAAAAAAAGTAAAGTTATATATTTTTATCATATCTATAAATCTGTTAATAGAAAAACAACTGCATTTCTGTTCGTATTGTCCCGAATAACACAGATTCTATATTAAGAGCTCAACCATATTACTGAAGGACACAGGTCTCATCGGAGTTTTGCCAGATATCGTTGAAACGATCTATATGTTTAAGGTTTTAATTCCCTTCCTGGTGAGGAATAAAAATGAAGTTTGTATTCTTAATTGTAGGGATTGAATTTTATGGAATGGAAATTCACTATACTGCAACTAGGCCAATAAGAGAAAGATAAACTAAGAGAAAAATAGCATAGATATAGAATAACAAAATCCGCTGAGATACAAAGAAAGACGTGCCCTGAACCTCAAGATCCTCCAAAAAGAATGCAGAGTCAATAATTTTGTACTAATGGGTCCACATATATAATAATACACAACAGTACAATGCAAAAATAGGAAAAGGTGAAGACCCCCCAAAGAATAGAATCCTCTAGAACATCAACGACACAAGGCCACATCCAAACACCAGGCTCACAATCATGTTGTGCACGCACCACAACTTCTCTGCTCCACTCTGCAAAATGACCCACCACAACGTTAATTCAGAGGCCAGGTGTTTGCTTCCTTTCATAGTATAGTTAGCTTCGATCGACATCCAAGATGGATTGCCAGCTCAATCCTTAGAACCATCTCAGTTATTAGTTTTCTTCTTGTCATTAAAAGGGATCAACTAATCTGTTATGAACTGGCAGCTCACTGTAACTACCAGCCCCCTGACCAACCAAACTCAGGTTTCGGATTGCCCTTTTATTACAATAAAGCATACCATCACACACCTGAATTATTTGTATCTTGTACTATGATATGATATGTATGGTTTATATATAAACAATTAGCTTTTAAAGTGCCCAAAAGAATAGCGTTCATGTCCTAGAGATTTGTGTTGTATAAATATAATTTATCAAGTGGAGCAACATTTTGCAGATCTCCCAATAATTCATCTATTATTTGAAAAAAGGACCAACTCTAAATGATCCCGGATCCCCAGATCACATATTAATAAATCCCAACGGATACAGAGATTTGGATCTATAAGCAAGAAAGAAAGGAATAATGAAGCAGATTTGAGATTTAGATCTGGGATTGCATCTCTGCAAGTGACCAACCTAAGCAACACCATAAAATCAGTAATACAGTGGTACAATGCTGTCATTTTCTAACGGCGCAAGGAATCGGGACCCTTTCTTTAAACCTAAAGTTGACTGAAAAGTTGACGACATTATTGCAGCAGTCCTATGTATTGGCATGTTACTCTGCAAGTTTTTCTGAACTGCCCATAACTCCTCTACGAGTATTTCCAGTTCAAAAAAATGAACTTCAACCTTTTAAGCCTCTTCATTTCCGACGGTCTCTTTTTCATTGATTATAAACACAAAATATATGCATGATGTAATACCATTTAAAAAAAAAAAAAACATTCAAGATGCAGATCCTTAAATTGAATATTGCCTAAAAACGTAATTGACAAGCACACTGCAACAAATAAATGTTGCAGCCGGCACTGATCTGTCGCTGCAGACTTGGAAGGACAGTCCAAAGTTTCTTTCTCTTTTTGTTTACCCTAAAGAGATCAAATCTGCAACCTCTTACCTTACCGGAGCTTTCATGACACTAAGGTACAAGGTAATTCACAGAGGTTTTTCTTTCAAATCCATCTATGTGCTGCGCAACCCTGAATTGGTTTATTGCTCTAAGGGAAAAAGTTCTCTGTTTTTTTTTTTTTTAAAAAGAAAATCATTTTAACATCCCGTCTACAGAAGCTAAAAACCCACACCTTAAAATCCAGTACTGGTATGGGATCCCGCCTAGGAAACAAAAGACGCCCTCTCCAATACTCCCGCACGTTCCTGCCTCTTATTTTAACCTAACGGCACATTATCTACAGATTCCACTTCTCATTGGAAACTACGAAGCTAGATTTGACTAAACGGCATCGTTTTCCTTTGCAAAACGAGCGTCCCATTACGAGACGGTTAGTAGCAGAAAGAGAGAGTCGATTAACTTACCACGTCGTCGCTGCCAGCGCCAGTGGGAGAGATGGTGGGGAGGCTAGGACCAGGTGCCTCCGCTGGAGGTAACGGAGTGGTGGGTGCCAATGCAGGAGCCTTAGCTTTGCCCTTCAGCTTCGACGGGGACGGGGCCGGAGAGGTCGCCGGAGGAGATGAAACAGGCGATGGGGTCATGGCGGGAGGTGGGACAGCTGGTGGTGGTGTGGCCGGAGGAGGAGTGGCCGGTGGGGGAGTGGCAGGGGGAGGAGTGGCCGGAGGAGGGTGGCGGGTGGAGGAGAAGCGGGAGGAGGTGTAGCTGGCGGAGGAGAAGCCGGGGGAGGGGTAGCGGGTGGAGGAGAAGCCGGGGGAGGGGTAGCGGGGGGAGGAGAAGCAGGAGGAGGGGTAGCGGGCGGAGGGGATGCCGGGGGTGGAGTGGCCGGAGGAGGGGATGCAGGTGGCGGAGAGCTTACCGGGGGAGGAGATTGCTGAACCGTGGGAGGAGCGGCTTGGGGAGTTTTGGCGGTGGGTGGAGCTGGAGTGGAGGTCGGAGGAGAAGCAGTGGGAGCAGTGGGAGTGGTGGGAGTAGGAGGAGCAGGAGAGGAAGAGGGAGACTGGCCTCCGACTCCGGCTACGACAATGCAGATGAAAGCAAACGAGAACAGGGACCGGCGGTCCATAATGCGTGAAGTGTTAAGCTACGCACCCGTTTCTGCTTAACCTGCGCACTGAGAGTGAGAGAGAGAGAGAGAGAGAGAAGGGAGCGAGTTAGAGAGGGAAGAAGGAGGAGACATTAAATAAGGGAAAGACGAAGAACAAAAAAGAAGGAAGGTTCGGGCTTTGCTGTTGCAGGGGTCACATCCAGACAAATCTGCAGCGTCAGATGGCCAACCCTCTCATTTTCATTGCTCGATCTGATTGCCACGTGGTCAAGGTTTTTTCATGATGGGAATCTCTCTTTTTTTTTCTCAGGAAAAAAAAAATATCTTACTGCTTGTTGTCCGGTGAAGGACTCAATTAAAACCCGACAGCTGGACTCCTGGGCCTTCTCTGATTTTTCCTCATTACCCAGTCATGGTTTTTAACGAAATATTACTAAATAAATTTAAGAAAAAATGACAGATAAAAAAAGTAGAATATATGATAGTCTAACTTAGCAAACTAAGAAAATATAATAATAAAGAGGAAGTTCTTTCTAAATTAAAATTTTAAAATTCAATGAAATGATAAAAATGTCTTTTATCTTTTTTTTTTTACAAAAAAGCTCAGCCCCTCACCAATGGCCGGCAGCTGACAGCCATTGCCGGCGACTTTCTTTTATGTCATTACATTTTCTTAACTTTTCAAATTAAAATATTATATATTCCACCTTCTTTATCTGTTATTTTTCTTAAATTTAATAGCATCAATCTTAGGTCTTAATTTTTGTGTTGATTCTCTTGTCATTAATTATTTTAATAATGAATTATTATATAATACTATTTTATCATATATAGTATCTATCTATTTTTTCAAACCAAAAAAAAACCTTCGAAATCAAGCTATATGCATATAATTTTTAAAATTTTAAGTCATCTATTATTATTGCTGACAAAAAAAAGGATTAGTTTTTTAATTTGCCATAGTATTTTTTATTAAGTGATGAACAGATTAATATTAAGAAAATTATTTGTTATATATAAAATTTTAAGAAATTTCGTTTTAACATTATAAAGATGAGAAATTTTATTTATATAATTTATGATTTAGAAATGTTAGATATAATTAAACTATAAGTATAAAGAAATCAACCAACAATAGTTGGGTCTTGTGAAAGGGACTGGTTACTCATAACATGTGAACAAAGATTCAAATCTAAAGTCCTGTTTGATACGAAACATTAAAAATGAGGGATTGGGATTATGACTGCAATTGAGAAAAGTCATTAAAATAATATTTAGTATGAGTAATTGTTTGTTACATGAAATTAGGCAAACCCCATAGAGGTGGGATTATATTGGAGAATACCACTTCTCCTCATGGTATTTTCCAATCCCACACACATGGTTTTGATTAATTCCTTACAACAAGTAATCTCTTATGTAAAACATTCTTTTAGTAAATTTTCTTAATCCCAATCTCAATCCCTACCCCTAAATTTTAATGTTTGCTACCAAACAATACCTAAGAATCCCTCCCAACTTTTTGCGTTATAACTCATAAATTGACATAATTAGTAAAGATGAGTGAATGAGTGATCATATTTACACTAATTATAACTATTGCTAGCACATGCCTTACATTAACTCACGTGTGCATTTTTAGTAAAGTTTTACCCACCTTCAACTGTCCATATTGCGAACCTTCTAATGTCGAGTGAATAAAATCTGCATAGACAAATCAAATTACTAAATCATACTTAAGGGAAAATTAATATTTTGTAGTACTTATGAGAAAATAATTCTAAGAAAAAATAAAAGGGGGAGAAATTGTGAAGGGAATTTGGCGTTTTGTTTGTGGATTTTGATTTTATGGTATTGGTGAGATGGTGCTTTTGTTCTCTACGGGTAGGAAGTTTCTATCCATACCAATATTACGCTTCATCAGTTAGTTTACGATGCTGAAGCTTAAAGTCTTTTTTCTTTTATGCCACCAAAATCGAATTGAAAGCCCACTTTAAAGATTTTGTCTTGTCAATATATGCACAAATCATTTGATATAGACACACATCCACGTTGAATAGTATGTTTGTTAATATAAAAAAATAATAACAAATAGGACATGCAAATTCTAAGGCTCTTAGCTGTCAAATAAAAAAAAATCTAATACATAAAATGCCTTTTTTCAATCAACAACATTGCTTAATTATAAATATCGAAGCATAAGTTTTGTTGGAAAAAAAAAAAACCGCTAGCTGTAAATACTAAATTATTGAGTCATCAGCATATTAAAACTTATTTTCCAAACATGATAACAACTCGATTCATGAATAATTTTGTAAAATTTTATAACGAACGTAAGGAGAATCATTTCCCAAAAGTTAATTGTTTGAGTTGGAGAACTCGAGACTTTATAAGATCCCTTCATAATAGCCAAGACAATTTTGATGAACAGGACGAGCTTGAAGTTGCAATCAAGAAACGGGTTGCTACGATGAAACAATATGCTTCTAATGTGATTACAAATATGGATCATGCTATTATGAAAATGGAAGTGTTAAATTCTAAAGTTGTTTGGCCAAAAAAAAAAATAAAGCCCTTTTTTGAGATGACTCCTCGATATATAACACTGATGACAAATTGCGAACTTAATCTATATCAGTCTATGAAAATTATATTTTCAATAATTTATTACTCATCTTTTAAGATTTACAATTCAATTATGTTTAGCGTTGATATATTTTCAAATATGTTTGTAATTGTCCTGGGTTGCGGAATGAACAAGGACATTAACTCGTGAGCGATTTCACAAATTCTAGAAACTCAGGTACGGTGATCTTCTTCATATATAGGGCACCTTTAAGTCATTTTCTCATATAATCAATGGTGCCAGGCAGATGGGTCCAGAGAACCGGATGCAGCGAACCTCAAGTGACATATTTGAGCATATTACATTATATCAATTATTGTTGGGACGTAGACAAGATTTATCCTTGCAAGAAAGCATCTACACCCATATAATTTGAGCATCAGAATTAATGAAAGGCATCCAAAGAAGAAGAAAAAAAGGTAATGATATGGAGGTTGTATCATTTTGGATGTATGATTTGGAGACACACACACACACACACACACATATCTCTATAAGGGTCATTCTTACCTAAAAGTACGTATCAGCGAAGGAGTTGTGAATGTTTAATAGTTTTCTTGTTTGTCTCAATATTATTTCAAAAGTGTTAAGAAGAGGAGCAACATCGCTCAAACAATTAAAAAAAAAGTGTACCATTAAAAAATTAACGTTGATTATTAACAATTTTTAACAGCTGGCTAGGGTGAGATTGTGCTTCCACGTTGATGTTGTGAAAACAAAATAAGGAATATGAGAGATTATAGTGTTAGGAAGGAGATATGCTTGGCGATGAACTGATTGATTAATGATTAATTAATGAGAAGGAAGGGAAAAGGAGAGAATGATTGAGGAGGGAGGACCTGGAAAGCATGTGCGATTTGGAAGCTATACGACGTTGCAAGTAAAGCAATATCTGTCTGTCTGGTGAGTCAATTTCAAGCTATTCCCTATCCTTCCTTTAATTTCTTTACGTTACTTATCTTTTATTGTTTCTAAGTATGAATTGATGCGTAATGTAATACTACCCCGGTCCTAATTATAAGAGTTAGTTGACTAATTTGAGGAGATTAAGAAAAGAAGTTAAGTTAGTTATTTGTTATAAATAGATGCTGTCTTTTCTAAAATATCCTTACTAATCAAGTGTACTGGCTAGAACTATCATTGTTAGAATGACTATGTTGGAAAAAGATGTATAAATATTAAAGACAAAGTGGATTGAAGTCTTATATTTTGATCAAAATAAAAGTTAAATGATATCTTATATCAAGAACCAGAGGTAGTATAAAAGAAAAAAGACTTGGAGATACTTAATTAACTCTGTTCAGTTGTGGGCGACAAAGCTCTACTTTACATATTGTTAGAGATTAGAGATTGTTCACAGCCTGAAAAAAGTGTGGCACAAGATTAGTCAAATCTTCTATGCTTATTTTTGACCCCAAAAAAAAATCTTCTATGCTTATTGATTTTTCTTTCTCTTTGGCAACTATGTATAGCATTGGATGCTAGGGAATGCCAAAGCTGAAACGGGGAGAGCAAAGCAATATGGAGGTTATCACGGCAAAGAGTTATTGTGCTTAGACGTGCGAGATGCTTTAGAAGATCAAATTATGTAAAGTTTTTAATGGAGAGAGGACCATAATGAAAAAGGATACTGCGCTTGTTTTTATCCACACAGGCTGTTAACGGAGACGCGTTAGACATGGGGGGAAATCAGGCTGATGATAACATGAGATAGAGAAAATCAAAGTCTCTCTGGGAACTAATAGCTTGAAGTTATAAGCGACATCAAACATGTAACTTTCACTTGTAAGGTTATCTTTAATCCTTAATATAAGAACTAGATAACTAATTTAAAGAGATTTAAAAAATGAGTTAAGTTAATTATCTGTAATAAGTGTGTGTTGAGTCTCCTAAATTATCTTATTTTATCATATAAACTTGAAACCACTTCTTGGTAGAAACTGGCCCTTACAATCATTAATGATATTTTGAAGAAAACGTTATGATTTTGAGAAACAAAGTAGATTGAGAATTTTATACCTATGACCAAATCTAACTCCCAACTACCTCTTATATTTAAGATTATAATTAAAAAAATGACAATTCAAGAGATGGTTTCATGAGGAAGGTGGGCTACCATCTTGATGTACTCATTCGGTTCTATTTATAAGTTAGAGAGAGAAGGTTTTTTTTGGGCATGAAATACACCCAACCTTTGATGCTATACATGTGAGATATCATCGGAAGACTGCTTCTGGAAAATTGAGGAATTTTGTTATGAACATGCATGCGTGCCTTCAGATGAGCCAATATACTCGTGCTAACTTGCTCCACATAATATATGAAAAAAAGTTGCACTTATATTTATTTGTTTATATATTCTATAAACGCTGCCCTTTTAACATATCATTAATGATGATTCAAGGACCAGATCAGAATGT